GCGTACATTACTCTCAGGCCGATTCCAGCGCGGATGCGGTAGCGTCGGCTCGCTTACGGCCGCCGCATCTGGCCCGATTGATTCGGGCCGGAATCGGGCAGTGAGTCCACAAGCATCCGGAGTCCGGCAGCCGAGAATCTAGCCGGAACTGGCCCGAGTGTATTTTGCTATCTGGGAAAGCTCTCTCTCTCTCACTCTCTTATTCGCGCGCGCGCACATACACACACACACACACAAGCACCAAGCACACACACAGGCAAAGCTCGCTCTCTCTCTCTCTCTCTCATTCGCATAGCAATATCCTCAATATTGCTAGACAGCCCGCTCTTGTCCCAAATTAAACCCGTTACCGACCGCTCCCGCGATTTATTCGCAGATTTATTCCCGCGCCGCAGAAATCTGGTCGGGTCCTGCAGCGCCCGCGGGACAGCCGCGGGAATGCAGACCTCTAGTTTGGACCACATCAGACATATAAAAGGATTACTTATGCACATCACCTCAAAAACAGAGGAGAAATGGCCCTGAAGGGCACAGTATAAGGTAAGAGATGACAGCTGTCTGTGCTATCTGGGGCTGCTTATTGATCATGAATGTATTGTTTACATTTCTGCGCCATGGAAACACCACAATTCATTCGGCAACTGTTTGGAATATGAATATAATTCAGTAAAAAGAATGCTAGAACTGTATGAGCACCGGCAAGAGCTTTCATTTAAGCTAAAACTTGTACATGTGTCATATGAAAAAATATGAAAATGAACCAATGTAACATACCTAGCTCGGGTGTCCAAAATACTGTGTATTTAAGTGTGAATAACTTTTACACAGTAGAATAAAAACCAAAGTGATGCATATGTGCATAAAATATAGATTCTACACTTTCAAACAACACAACTTACGGGGGTCTGGTGCAACGCTAGCCCTTTGAATCTGAAAGCGAATGTCGATGACGTCACGGACCCGGTGCAGAGTTTAAGTGGTTAAACATGCCGCCTTAAAATGTACCATGCATAAGTAATTTACCAATTTACCAAATAGTTGTACTTTCTCATAACTGAAACTGGTGTTCAAAGGTTGTCTCAACCCAGCAGGCCGGCAAAGGACATCAACATGACGTCAAATTGACTTTGCACTCCAACGTAGAATATTGCATGTTGTTTGGAAATGAAAATCGGGTTGACATCAGAACAGAACCCAACATCAATGGACAATGTTGGACAGACATTGCATTTTGATCACTTTCCAACACAACCTAAAATCAACAAAATATCAACGTCATATCACATTATTTTTCGACATCAAAGTAATATTCCCCTTAGATACTGATGACCTAAATCTAACCTCATATTAACATGTCTGCAGGGATGCAGGTTAATGGAGCTTAGTTTCCAGGCACACATAGTAAATCAGGACACTGTGTAAAAAGGAATAGTGACACATAAACAATGGTGGTTTAAATGCAATATATTGTTTAAATTTCCAAGTAAAGCACTTACATCGCTACCCAATCAACATGAGCCAACGAGGACTTGCTAAGCAGGATATATGCTTGGAAACTATTCAACATGCAGAGTAAAATGTATATGTGATTGGACTGTTATTGAGTCTTCATTGATCACATGACTCTGGAAAACCAGTACACGACACAATACGTGGCCTTCTTTTGCCACAAGGCCTTTCATAGAGGGATGTTGATCCTAAAATCATGTTCTTGAGTCTATAATCCAATTTTGTGGCTGAAATTGGCTGAGAAACGACAATGGATGCTAAAAATCAATAGGTCTATTTTGTCTTATAGAGCATCACACTAAGGCTGTCACACACTATCCAGAATTCTAGTTAGCAATGGAAAGCACACATTTCATCCACTAATCCCTGTACATAAAGGGACAGTCAACACGAAATTTACAAAACAAAAATCTTGAATGATGTTCTATCAAACCTGTTTGACTTTCTTTCATGAATATAATTTTAGGGTGAATGAGCTTAAAAGCACCACAGAAGCAGCACAACACTGATTCGCAATATTTGTGTGTATTCAAGGGATTTCTTCCCTTGCTCTCATTGGCAGATCAATGAGAAAGATCCAATTTGGCAACCGAATGTTCATTCGAGGCTATTCTTTTTAATGACTCCATTATAAGTCATTAAAAATAAGTAGCCAGATAATCCACTGTCCCAGTTAACTGAAAACATTCTTGAAAGAAACATTGGTTAACATGCTGGCAAACTTTTCTCAGAAGTTACAGATAAAGTCGAAGAAAAAAATCTTCTGAGAACATTAATAGTTAGAGAACATCAACGCTTATAGCTTATTAATCTTATTATACTCTTTAATTAATAAAACATTTTAGAACGTACTTCTAATAAATTGTAATGATTTATAAGTACAATTGAATGTTTATATCAGCATGTTTATTAATAAAATAAAAATGTTAAATGAAAAAATATGTGTATTTTTAGGCAAACTGTCTATTTAAATCTGCTGGAAATACCCGTCTGGACAGTGGACATGTTAAATCCAATTCACTTGACTGCTTCCCGCAGACAATTTAATGGTCTTACTGGATGACCTTGAACCTGTAGGTAGACCCATGGGTGTCTGCACTTTGACCTGTTAGCAATTTTGGAAATGCATTATTCAGGCATTATTTGTAAAATGGACACACTGTTGAAACTACTACAGCTGCACACCTATCCCTGCTGAAAAATCCAGCTTAAACCAGCCTAGGCTGGTTGGCTGGTTCTGGTTTTAGCTGGTCAACCAGGCTGGTTTTAGAGGGGTTTTGGCCACTTTCAGGCTGGTTTCCAGCCATTTCCAGCCTGGTCTTAGCTGGTCAGGCTGGGAGATGACCAGCTAAAACCAGCTTGACCAGCCTGGTTTATGCTGGATATAGCTGGTTTTGGCTGGACTCCCAGCTTGGCTAGGCTGGGC